ATCATAGACAGGTAATAAATATATAGAGTAGAAAGAGCTGAAAAACATAAAGGTTAGAAAAGCAAAACCTTAATGATACGACTCCACTAACAAGGCTTAAACATCATAGACAGGTAATAAATATATAGAGTAGAAAGAGCTGAAAAACATAAAGGTTAGAAAAGGAAAACCTTAATGATACGACTCCACTAACAAGGCTTAAACATCATAGACAGGTAATAAATATATAGAGTAGAAAGAGCTGAAAAACATAAAGGTTAGAAATGGAAAACCTTAATGATACGACTCCACCAACAAGGGTTAAATACAGTATAGAACCAGTTAGAATAAAATGTTGATAGAAAAGAAAAATTAATATACTGATTTAATGGAAGACACTTGGAAACATTCTAAATTTAGAAAGATATCAGAAAGTTCATCACTTACTGAAACATGATTTTTGAAGATAATCTCCAAGAGTAGTTATTGTTGATTTACCTCCGTTTCTTTGCTTCATTTTATCTAACTATTTTCATTTACTAGGATTTCATGCGGCGATTGGACAGAGTAGAGGAGGATGTTAAAGACACGAGCCAGCAAGCTCAAGATCTTATCAGTCAACGTTACACATCAGACCCAGGAAGTTATGGAGATCATGTGAGTTGTCAGTAGCACTCGAGGCACTGGGTTTTATTATGAATACATAATAATGCACATTTGTTATTGATCAGCAATCAATATATAATGTGTTGGTAACGTGCAGTGCAGGGCTGTTTTGTTGTTCCTTATTGATCTGTATTATAATTCTTCCTGTTTTAGTTAGGTTACTGAACGTCTTTACTTGTTAACACTTATGCAGATGGATAATATGCGGCGACAACTTGGTCGATTGGAGGAGAGATCAAAGACCCGCAATGTCAACCTGGAATCAACCCTGTCTCGTTTAGAGAAGTTCTATGGAGATTACAAAGAGACCATGAAGGACTTGGAAGATGCAGTTCAGGAAGAAAAGAACTTCAAAATTGTTAGTGGAGACGTGGATCTGATTCGTGCTCAGCAGGAGCAGTTTCAGGTGTGTTATGGGATATTAGTTTAACAAATATGTGAAAATTAATAGTTCAACATCTCTGTACATGAGGAAAGCATTAAGGTGTATAACGAGCAGTTTCAGGTGTGTTATGGGATAATGATTTAAAATTTATGTGTCAATGTAAGATATCTATATGTGAGGAAAAATATTAAGGTGTATAACAAGAGGAGTTTCAGGTATGTTGTGGAATAGTAGTTTAAAAAATGTTTGTACAGATTAGTGGTTCAGGTGATTTTGGTTGGAGAGATTACACAAATATTTTAATTGTACTTGCTATTACTTAAGTTTTAATTTCTTCCTACACCTTTGCTTACTTATACCATTTTTCACTCATGACAATTCCTGTTGCTATTGATCAATTACATATTTTCTTTCTATCCATTATATATCTAATTACATTCAGCTGTTCATGGTTCTAAACTCTTCCTAGACAACTTCATCCAGTTGTTCATGGCTTCAAACTCTTCCTAGACAACTTCATCCAGTTGTTCATGGCTCTAAACTCTTCCCAGACAAATTCATCCAGTTGCTCATGGCTTCAAACTCTTCCCAGACAAATTCATCCAGTTGCTCATGGCTTCAAACTCTTCCCAGACAAATTCATC